TCCATCTGCTGATTCTCTCCCCAAATGGCTACAACAGCCAGAGCTGAGCCCATCTGAAGTCAGGAGCTAAGAGACTCCTCCGGGTCTCCCAAATTGATGCAGGGTCCCAAGACTTTGAGTCATCTTTGACAGCTTTCCCAGGCCACAAGCAGGGAGCTGGATGGAAAATGGGGCCGCCCAGAGTAGAACTGGCACCCATATGGGATCCCGGTACATGCAAGGTGAGAATTTAAGTTACTAGGTTACCATGCTGGGCCCAGGTTATTTAATTTCTGTCATGGGTTTCCCATAACACAGAACACTAGTAATAGTGTCTAAATCTCCAGATGATATTCATACGGTACAAGGGAAATGAGTGTCACCAAAAAATTCTTCAAGAGTTGGAGCACCATGCCAGCTCATAAGTACTGATGGAGGTGCCCAGCGTAGTAGAACATTATTCTCAGAAGTGTTGAGACATCTTGTCTTTATGTGGACATCTTGATTCTACTGAATTAACAACAGTCACAACATACAGGAATGTAGGCATCTAGTGGTTTCCAGAGACACCCATGTGGAGTATTTTGCAGATCCATCCTGTCTTACCAAGACAGGGCAAGATTGGGATAGTGATTTTATTGTAACTCAATTGATAACCTACAAAATTAGAGAGATTTTGGGCAATATTGAGTTATAAGAGTTATTTACCGGTAATCTCAGAATAGGTTTGCACGTATTGCTTCTTTGAAAAAGAACTTGTTTTATTATTTGAAGCGCCAAGTAACACACACACACACACACAAAGAGAGAGAGAGAGCGAGAGAGAGAGAATAGAAAGAGGTTAATCTTTAATCTGTTGATTCACTCTCTAATGCTACAATGACCTGGACTGAGCAGGACTATAATCAGTGGATTAAGATAGGCTGGATTCTAAACTAAGGACTGAAAACTTTGAAAGTAGTTTTGAGTTCAAATCGTGTCTCCATTTCTTATTGGCTGCATGGTTTTAGAAAATTTAATAATATTTCTGAGTATCTGCTTCCTCAACATCCTGCTTTCTAAAAAAAATTCTTTATTTGAGGGGCAGATAGAGCTCTCATTTTCATTTATCCCCCAAATTCCTTAATAGCTGAGGCTGAACCAGGCTACACCTAGGAACTGAGAAACCACCTGAGATCTCATGTGAGTGACAGGGAGTCCTGCATTTGTGCCATCCCTGGTGCCTCCCATGCACATTAGCCAGAAGTTGCAATAGCAAACACAGCCACACTCAAACCCAGGCCTATGGTATAAGAAGCTTGCATCCCAAGCAGCAGCTTAACTGCTAAGACAAACCTGCTTCTCCTTGTTAAAACTTTTATTTAATTGAGAGACAGAGATAGCTGTTTTATCTTAAGGTGTTTCATGTTAGTGGTTTGTAAATATGCAAAAAGCAACTGATATATAATAATTGCTAGTGGTGGCAATTATATTAGCTTTATTTTTCAGTCTAACATGGGTTATCAGAAGCCTGATAAATGTTAGAAAAATACAACAACAAAATGGTTTTCTTTCCAATTATCAAATACTAGTTTCTAACATGTCCATTTTCTAAGAATTTATGCTCTTAAAATTAAAATTTCTATAAACAGTGACTTCTTATGACTTCCCATAGAAATTACTTGATGTATTTATTTTCATCTTTACTAAGTATAACTGATAAAACTGTATATATTCAAGGCTTACAATGTGTTTATTTATATACATGTACGTTGTCAAATAATTAACCATAGTCTAAAGCTAATCAACTTATTTGTCACTTCACATAAGTACCATTTTAAAGGTAATAATAATTATGATATTAATATTTTGGTTGCGGTAAAAACTCAATTATTTGCTTGTAAATAGAGAATAGTTAAATTCTATTGTCTGCCAATTTCAAATACATAAGGCATTACTGTTGATAGACACTAAGCTATACATGAGGACTCCAGAACTCATTTGACTTATTACTGAAAGTTGGTATCCTTCGACCAACTTAATGCAGCTTTTTTATTTTAACAGGTGGATGTGGCTATTTTTCATTTTCAGAGCCACTTCATTGCTGTTAAGAATACAAGTGTTATTCCACATGGAGGACTTTAACCTCCAGCATACTGTGGGTGTCCCCGGAGGAGTAGGACAGAAGAGTCTGCAATGCTAGTGGCTCTGTGCTCTGAATTTTCTAGTAGGGTTGCAACACAGGGTTTTCCTAACAGAGATTTTCTCACAAACATGTCTAGGAATCCATATTCTCTTTTACTAGAGATGTATCATGGTTATACAGCCAGGTAAAGATCAAATAACTTCCTTACTTTCGACTGTTCTACTTTGGGCAAGTTACTTACCCCTCTGAACCTCATTTTCCTCTGTGCAGAATTTAATAATAGTAATATTCATCTCAGAATGCAGTGCTGGTAAATAAGATGACTATGTCAAGTACCTAGTATGTGTGCCCTCAATGTAATCTCTTGCTTCTGTTAGCTCAAATTGATTAAGAGGACAACATGCCAAAAGGTTTGGGGAGTTTTACCAACACATGGGCAGCACAAAGATGGGAAAATGAGCTAACTGGTTTCCAGCATAATAAAAATAAGAGGTTAGGCAGTCACAGAAGAGCCTGGCAATCAAAGAGTCACCACAGAAGGTCAAGTGCCCCCTTGGCCATCACAAGATTCAAGAAGGAACCCAGAACAGAACTCTGAAGCCTTTTTCCACCATTTTATTTGGGTCTAGGTCAGGGCCAGGTGGCCCACTAAGATGATTTCTGTGCTATCTGATCAGACCCTGGGATCTGGCTGCTCAGTTTTAACATGCAAAGCCTCCCAGGGAAAACTAAGGAAGCCTAAGAAGAGCTCCATTTGGTGGACTGGATTCATATTCCACACAGGATTTTAACACAGAACCTCACAATGTGCCTTTCATTAGAAGCATACTTGGGCTGTGAGTGGTGAGCTCACACTGGATGAGGGAGAATCCTTCCGGCAGTTGGCATCTCTTGAAGAGAAGATGCATTGGGAGAGAACGCTGGGGAGGGTGGGGGCACTGGAGCCCGGCAGCTGGAAGCTGGAGGGCCCAGGATTGACAGGGCTCTAGAGTCTGGGAACAGGGCAGCCCAAAGGGATCTCAGAAGCAGAATGATTTCCATGGTTTTAAGTCACCAGTGTTGTGCCAAATGGCAATGACTGCCTTAGGAAACTAATAGATCATTCTACATCCTATCAAGATTTTCAAGTTTTTACAGGATGCTTGCTCCAGTCATGACTATGTTTCTTCTTCCTGCTCAGTTTCATTTTTTTGTGCCCTGGGTTTTCTCCCTGTTCTTCTCAGTACCATCTTTGCCAGGTTTCAGTACTGTGCCAATGCCCACCCTTCCTAGAGCGTCTCCCATCTTCCCTGGAGGCTGAGTACATGAGTCCATCTCTCACAAGGCTAAGCCGGTAGGGGACCACTGGAGGGCTGATACTCCAGGTGCTGCATCACCTCTAAAACTCGGACCAGAAACCACAGTTCTTCACTGCGTGGACCACAGATGTCTCACCTGCAAAACAAAACTACAAACCTGCTGTGCTAGCTCATGGGCTGCTGTGTGTAAAGTATGATAGATGAGGATGGGCCTTGGAAAACTGAAGGCTCAAAGTGGCAATAATCTTTTCCATGGTTATGAGGGGGTTTGTTCACGACACAGGAGCTGCCAGACTGATCCGGTGACCTTCTGATCTGAAAACCACACTTCTTCCCTCGCTGGCCCACAGGTCTCTGCCCCATGCTTGTGATTTGCAGGTCACTGATTTTTGTGGAGGAGGCGAAGGACCACAGTTGGTCTCTAATTTCTGGGAAGTGAAGAGTGTAATGCAGTTACTGATAATGTACAATGAGGGCTGAGTCTCTGAGGGAACCTTAGAGGGGACAGAGAATGCTGGTTCACATGCTTATTTTTTCTTGAGTCTAGACTATCATAAAAGACAAGTACTTACACTCAACTTATTACCAAGTATTTTAGAGGTGCTGACATCATAGAATTTTTGTTACTTAAAAAACCAACTCTGTGAAGAAGGAAATTTTATAAACAAAAAATTTTTAAGAAGTAATACAAAATTCTGTCGGTTTATAGCCAATGGTTAAAGTTAATTCAAAAGATGGTAGTGAAGAAAATGAAATAATTAAAGTCAGCTAAATAAATGACCATTAGACTAATAATTTCCCACCAATCAATGAATTCCTAATTCACAGCATTTAGGTGCAGATTCTCCATCACATTCTTGGCATTTCACCAGCTTTAAAACTCATTTTTCTTCATATCTTAACATCTGTATGATCAGTATATATCTTGCAGTCTATGTTCCTTTTTATTTTGTTTTATTTTTTCAATCTGAGTGGCACTTAAAATATAAGTTTATCTTATAATTGATAGATCTTAGATTCTATAAAATAGTAGTATTTCATTCGAGGAAGGTGGAATCAGTGAGACTGGTAATCAGATTTATTCTTTATAATATTCTTACTAAATCCCAGTGAAACAAGTCTGACACATTTTCTGCCTCAGAAACACTTACTCTGCTTGCTGAAAAATTCAGTTATTTGCTCATCTTGAGAGCAAACGCTTCCTTCAACAGAGAGGATGTAAGTGGAATTTTGAGATCAAAGAATAGGAAGAAATGGAATTTAAAAGTAAAAGTGTCATCCAATTTGAGGAAAAATTACACAATTTCATTTCCACATTAACATCCTTGGAAACACCTTCGGAGGATGAGCTTGGTAGGGGTCATTGTCTAAGGTCTCAGATAAAATGGCCAGCACCGTGTGGTCAGTCCCAGTGTCCTGCTGTGATAACGCCTATCCTTGCCACGACTCAAGCTCATCTGTCAAGCAAAGGGATTTAGCTGGATGTATTGGGATATCTGAAACATTGCTAAAAACCCCAAAGAATTCTCATTTTAGGCAGATGTATTCTCCTACTCAGGTTCATAAAGCCTAACTGCTTCTGGGTTCTCTGGTCTTACCAGTATGGTGGATAACTTGCCGAAAATTGTCATCTGCACAGACACTACAAAGAAACCAAAGTATGAAGAGTCAAACAGTATGTTTAAATAAAATATTCATTGCTCTTTTTTTTGTACTTTTTAATGACACATAACTTATGCATTAAAAGGTAATCCTCCACATACTCAACTAAATTGAAAATCCCTCCACAGACATCCTCCCCTGCAGAGTTACCCACATTGTTTTCATGAATGTTAGCAAGACATTCATGCAAGCATCACAAAAACTTACAAGAATCCGGAGTCCAGCCACTGCTGAATATTTGCTTGTTTGGAGTTTGCTACAAATAGGAAACGTATCAGTTGGAAAAGCACAACCACTATTATTCACCCAGCACTCAATAGCTCTATTTCTTCAATATTTAGTCACATGTTTCTATAGGCATATTCATTTTCCCCCTGAAGGCAAAACCTCCTGTTTTCCATAATGAGCCTTTCCTGAGCATGGAGTGTCAACTTGTTCAAACACTACATTAAGAGAGACAGAAGGAGAGAAAGAGAGAGAGAGGGAGAGGAAGAGAGAATATGAATGTGAAAGAGAAGCAAAACAAATCAACAAAGAGCAGGAGACATTAGAATAATTTTTCAATTACCTGGTGTGAATGCAATGGGTGAGAAGGCATGTGAGACCTTTTTCTTTCTCTTGTTGGGTATAAATCACCACGGAGCCTCTCATTATTGAATCACGACATTTACCTAAGGCAGCCAGCCAGTGGTGTTTATTTGCAAGGAGTTCTCTGCCAGGTTAGAAACCAAATTTGCATTCATTCCAGGGACAAAATTGAACTAAGTCCCTAGATGGCCAAAGGCACCCTGTGTTAAAAAGACACCAGTCCTTTAAGGTAAATCTTTATCACTGGTTCAACAAATTGTCAACGGGAAAAAAAGTAGAAGATACAAAGGCAGCCCTTTCTGTTAAATATTTATTTCCATTCTGGTTGTCTGCTGAGCTGACTTTCTTTAATTTTATTCTACCTAACAGTGAAGTACCTGAACTACACCCTCATAGTCAGATGATCCAAAACAGCCAGCCAGGTGGACATGCCAGATTGTTCTTCTTCTTCAACGGAAGTACCATGAAGGGGCAGCATGAATTGGGTAGTGGACAAAAATAGAAAGCTACCTAACAGTTTTGAGAGTTGTTCAAGAAATGGGAAAAAATGAAATTAAAAGATGTTTGGTGTGACTTCCAGGCATAGTTTTCATAATATGCATTTTCCAAACCTATTTATGAGGAGAGAAATTCTCACAATTTACTCTTTAAGTTATTAAGATACTATCAATGTCTCAATCAATACCCCCAAAGTCTGTTGATAGCATATGCATTGGTCTGAAAGAAGTTTCAAGCCTCTAGTGTGTAGCCCATGCAGCTTCAAGATCCTAGTGACATATGATGAAGGGATAATGAAATGTGAAAGAAGCAACATTCCTTCTTTAATTGATCTATTTCTATTGAACAAATCTGTGTTCTGAGTGTTTATACAGAAATTCAAAAATGTATTTTCAAAGCCAAGTCTCTTCCAAAGTCATCTTCTCCCAGCTGAAAGTGCCTCTGTGGTCCTTAACACCCACAGTAAGAGGCTTTCAAGAGGCCCTCAATGCCTTACTCACCTACCAGTTGGGTTGTGGGAATTTCTCTTTCCTCTCTGGAACCAATAGACAGCTGCTCATCCAGAGGAATCCAGGCCTTCCTGGTGCACCTCAGAATCTCTCTTCTGCTCTTTTCCTGGGCTTCTTGACGTTTGTCAGGTCCTTGTGATGTCTCTGCCATCCTGAGAGAGAAATTCTGCAAACTTACACAAAAAGCACACACACACACACACACACACACACACACACACACACACACACACACACACAAACACCATGAGCTTGGCTGGCAGGCTCGGCTTGGTAAGCACAAGAAGGCCAGCATGCTAACAGTAAGAGGAGTAATCCTGCCTCCCACTCTCCTAAGCCTACCAAGTTTCTGGTCTCAACTGGGTGAACTGGTACCCTCTCCAAAGAGAGGCAGCTGGAGACCAGGGACAGAGGGGCTCCACAGCCTATAGGATGCGTGAACAAAGAAATCCATCTTGAGGGCACAGCCAATAGCTCTCATTCAAATATATGCAATGGGTTCACCTAGTAAGACACCAAGTGCTGGAGGAGCATGAGGACTATGGCAAAAAATCAACCTGAGTCCCATTTCCACAACTTATTTTGTGGCTGAATATAAATTTTATAATATCTCCATATCCCCTTAATTTTATATTAAGTATACATTGTACAGAATCTTAATAATAATCTACTTCATTGGAATCAATTAAATAACTTTATTGTCAATGAAGGAATATAATGGTAATAATTTTATGCTATATTGAAGAATGTCAAAGGGTTAAGTCACATATGCAAAATTCAAACTAAAGCCAGCCCAAACCCAGACACCAAATTCCAAGTAGATTTCATGAGCTACCTACACTACAGAGAAGATAATTAGAATATCTATGAATATTTTATGTACCTGACACAAAAAATATCATTTGCCTTCATTATCTAATTTGACCTTTATTAATAATGCCCTTGTGGAACATGCAAGGCACAGGTAGAAGACAGGAGCTTGGAGCCACTGTGTCATTTGCTCACTATGCCTGGACTATTGAGCCCCTGAAGGCAAGAGCCATTCTCCTTCTCTCTTACATGTCTGTAGTATTTTTTTTTTTTTGCACATAGTAGATATTAGGTTAACATGTAGTGCAATTCTAAAATAGCAACAACTATCATTCAAACACATGATTTAAATTATTTCCTCCAGAGCTCTTTAAAAAGTTTGTGAGTAATACATTTTATGAAAAATTTGTGGGTGGACATCAAACAAACTTATTATTTTTTTAAAGATTTATTTTATTTTTATTGGAAAGGCAGATATACAGAGAGGAGAGACAGAGAGGAAGATCTTCTGTCCGATGATTCACTCCCCAAGTGAGCCTAACGGCTGATGCTATACCAATCCAAAGCCAGGAGACTCTTCCGGGTCTCCCACGTGGGTGCAGGGTTCCAAAGCCTTGGGCTGTCCTTGACTGCTTTCCCAGGCCACAGGCAGGGAGCTGGATGGGAAGCAGGGCTGCCGTGATTAGAACTGGCGCCCATATGGGATCCCGGGCGTGCAATGTGAGGACCTTAACCACTGCGCCACCACGCCGGGCCCAAAACAAACTTATTTTCAAATTATATTTTCTATAAACTTTCTGGAATACCTTCATAGTTGGGTTTGCATTCATTTATACTTTAAGTTTAAAGAATCTGTCAACTATTCAAGCACCAATGTCAATAGCACTGCTAACATGCCTGAGCTGATGTATACCCAACAGTCACATGAAATACACCCCATTTCTAATTATTGTTGAGCAAAGCAACTCATTCTTATTTATTGTAAATACTTGAACAGGTTCTTTCAAGAATAGATGACAATTCTAGATACTGTAGATAGGAATAATTTTCTTCCATGCTTTATATGTTAAAAGCCTATCATTCTGCAGAAGTTTCCACCTTATTGTTGCAAGTATAAATTGTTGCCAAAGTTAATAATTGTGATTAATTAATTTTATGGTAAAAAAAGAAAAAGCTAAAAAAGTTCAATTCATTAAAATTACAACAAAAGGTGGACAATTAATATAGTTAATACTGCACTAAATAGAAAGCATGCTAGCTAGTTTAACTCTAGAAAGACCAACTAAGCTACATACTTATAAGAAAAAAACATACATTTAAAAACATATAGGGCCCGGCGTGGTGGCACAAGTGGTTAAGGTCCTCGCCTTGCACGCCCGGGATCCCATATGGGCGCCGGTTCTATCCCGGCAGCCCTGCTTCCCTTCTAGCTCCCTGCCTGTGGCCCGGGAAAGCAGTCAAGGACAGCCCAAGGCTTTGGGACCCTGCACCCGCGTGGGAGACCCGCAAGAGGCTCCTGGCTTCCGACCGGCATAGCACTGGCCGTTGCGCTCACTTGGGGAGTGAATCATCGGACAGAAGATATTTCTCTCTGTCTCTCTCCTCTCTGTATATCCGCCTTTCCAATTAAAAAATAATAATAATAATAAATCTTAAAAAAAAGAACCATTAAATTTAAGGAAAGGTGCTGATTTATTTGTGTGTCCCTCCTATAATGGCACATTTGACTTTAGCTACCAGCCTTCCACAACCAATGAGAATATGCTCTCAGCAAGCCTGGTTGTACTTGGCCATCAAGTAGACAAAAAGCTGCCAAAAAGAGTGGGAACCTTTGCTAAAGGCAAGGGTCAGGGATGAGTTTGTAAAGAGTCTTTTGTTCTCTATGATTTGGGGAATGTCTTCCCAGTTAGTAAACAAATCTGCCTCTGGGAATGGGTTTTTCTGATGCTTGAATGACTTCTCATTGGCATCCACTCAGAATCTGACACCCAGAACAGCCCTTTGGCATCCATCAGGTGGCATTCTCACATTGCCCTATTACGACAAGTGACCTCTGTTGGCTCCTGCAGTTAACTCCTTTCTCCCCAGGAGTTGCCCAACTGAGTACCCAATTATTTCTTGCTTTGTCTTGGCTTCAAGTAGAATCCTTCTTCTCAATCTTGCTGTCTCTGTACCTGAGGGACCACGTACCTTCTTTCTAGATTCTGATTACCACACTGTCATCAATCTTTATGTGTATGCAGCAAAACTTCACTAATGTGGGAAATTGCTTATATGATCATGTTTAGTCTTTAAAAAGATCAGATGTAAAACGACTTGAATATATGTACCATGAATTAAATCGATTTTATAAAAGCAAACAAAAATATATTCTGAAAGAAAAAAAAAGATAAATATATCAAAATGTTACCAATGTTTCAATTAAAAAAAATAACAACACGAGGAAAAATTACATTAATTCTTTTTTTCTTTAGCTTGGGAAAATTCAACCATACTTATTCCTTTACACTGTAAAGGCTTCAGTTCAAAGAAAAAAATCACAGAATTTAGTATTTAAAACAGTGATGACAATCACATTTTTATCCTCTGTAGTTCTATAATTATGTGCCCCTTTGTGTGAACAGGTTGTCTTGCCAAGTGGGTAGTTAATGCCAGAATAGGGACTGTGTTTTTATTATCTCCAAGTTCCCCATTAATTCCAGGGCAGCGTTTTGCCCACGGTAAGCATGACTATCACTTGATTGTTTGGTTACCTGGACAGGAACATCCAGTTAGCTGAGCCAACATTCTTTTCTTTTCTTTTTTTTTTTTTTTTTCATGTATGGTTAAAATAGCAAGTCCTGTTAAGGCAAATAACTCTAGATTTTAAATTCAACAATTGTGGACTTGTTGACATCCCAGGAAAATTGTGAAACTTTTCTATTTCCTCATCTCTGTGAAACAAAGCGTTCACTGGGATGTGGAAAGTTTTAATGATAAATATATACAAAACAATCAACGTTCACATTGGTTAGCTTCCTTCTCTCCCTCCTGCTATTTTTTCCTTTCTTATGTTGTATTCTGCCATTAGCCTGTCAAGAACTATCTGATTAAGAAGAATTTTGAACCTTCTACTGAACCTCCCACCCACCCATTCTACTTAAACACACATACATATCTGCTCTTATATTCCAGTATTCCACATCTTAGTAAACAAACTAGCAAACAAACAAAACACCATTATTTGGGAAAACTTTCCTTTATTCTCCTACTCCTTCATATGTTACAGTAAGCTACTAAAACTAGAAGAGAATTCCAACAAGATAGTTTAGGAAAACCACCTCTGCTGAAATAAACTTGATATGAACCAGAATTTGCAGTCTCATTAAAATCATAGTGAAACCTCTGGTCTATACCAATAAATATTATCTCCTATTCTCTTTATAACCCACTTAAATCAATATTTTAATGATTCTCAGTTCTCGGCATTTTAGAAGTTTTGGCAGTATTTTATGTAGTTGATGGAAATAATCTTTTGATTATATATTTGCTTATTTGTTTTAAAGGTAAAGGGGAGACAGAGAGAGAAGACGAAATCTTCCATCTGCTGGTCCTTTCTCAAAATGGCTACAGTGGCTAGGGGGTGGGCCAAGTCAAAGACAGGAAACTGTAACTCTGTCCAGGTCTCCGATTTGAGTGACAAGGGACCATGCACTTGGCCGTCTTCGGCTGCTTTCTCAAGTGCATTAGCAGGGAGTTGGATTAGAAGTGGAGCAGTCAAGACTTGAACCAATGTGCATATAGGATTCCATCATTGCAACTTTACATGCTGGGCTACAATGTCAGCCCATTAATTTGTGTTTTCATATCATTCTTTCCATAATCTATTCCTTCCTTCCTAAAAACTTCATTACTTCTAGCTTTTTGATCACCTCCTTCCTAGTGTCTCATTTTTGAGTACTTTGTATCTGAAATTTTAGTCTACTTCTATCCTTTCTACCTACATGTTCTCCCTAAGTGAGTATGGTCTCCGCTGCTTCTCTAATCCTACAGTCCGCTGTACATCATGATTAGGACATTGTCACATTACTTTTTAAATTTATGTTTATACTTTGAAAACTCTGGAATTTTCTTCAAGACAAAGTTGTTTGCTCTTATTTCATAACTGCATACAAAAGTCACTTAGCACATGTTGAATAACATAAAAGAATACTGGGAAGGATAGAAAGAACATCAAAGCAAAGATGGCTATGCAAAAATTAAAGATGACTTGGTATTTTGCAATTTCCTTTTTGTAATATAATGGAATTAGATGAACTGAGATAATTACATAAGTTTATTATTCTGTTTCTAGCCTTCTCA